ATGTAATTAGAAAAACCGCTATTTTGTAAGCCCCAATATAAGAAATGATTTGCACAAGGAATATCAGTATGAACTGAAACCACTGAATGATTGACTTGGAAATTAAGATATTACTGATATCTTAGAGCACCTCCCCACAGATTATTTAACTAATCACAAAAGAAAATGTATACCTGTATACTGGAAAGATTTGGCAGTTACCACTTTGATCAAATGTTCAAAGAAATTTTTCTCAAAGCCAGCACAATAATCATCATGTGCCTCCTAATGGAAAAGATTCATAATCGTCTATAATTAATCTGAGTCTATTCATCTTCTGACATTTTTATATAGAATACAGATGATATTATTATAAATCAAATGACATGAGGTAAACTTTTTGAAAGTCAATGTCAAGAAATATAAAATGGGGTTATTGTCTCTGATTTTAATGACCAAAAAATATCTAACAAATAAATACAATTCATAAGCTTTGATTAAATCTTCCCAAAAGCATTTTGGTTGAGAAAGAGAAATTTGAATTTGTACAGGAGAGTAGATGGTAAGATGTGATGATTGTCAGTTTCTTTAGGTAGATATTATGATAGCATGCTATTAAGCCAGTGTATTTACCCTTACAAATTTCATGATAAGTTATTCAAATGTGAAGTGTCATTGATGCCTACAAATACTTTTCAAGTCACTCAGTTACATAGATATATAATATCTATCTATCTATCTATCATCTGTCTATATGAATGAAACAGTGAATGAGACAGAGAAAGACAGAAAAAGATGCACAAAACAGCAAAATATTAAAAAGTAATGAATCTAAAGGAATATTTAAGTATTCTTTGTATTGCTTTGCAGGTTTTTTCCAAGTGTTTATTTTTTAAATTATATTTTGAAAAAAGTAGGAAAGTTGAAACCATTCTAACTTTATAAGCATTCAAAATTGTATCTTAAATTAACATACAGTATCTCTCTATTGGACTTTGAAATTATGTGTCATTTATGATCAACATCATTTCTTCATTCAAATGAAAGAATCCATTCTTTGCAAATATATGTATATATATATACACATATACATATATCATACACAAACACACAAACATGCACACACCTCAGATCTGAAGTTTATATATATATATGATATGTATTATATATATAATATACATGATATACATATAACAATTAGAAATACATTGTTTGTTCCTGATCTCAACGGGAAGGCTGCAAGCTTTTTCCCATTGAGGATGAACTGTTGGTGGGAATGCAAGTTGGTGCAGCCACTTTGGAGAACAGTGTGGAGATTCCTCAAGAAATTAAAAATAGAGCTTACCTATGACCCTGCAATTGCACTACTGGGTATTTACCCCAAAGATACAGATGTAGTGAAAAGAAGGGCCATCTGTACCCCAATGTTTATAGCAGCAATGGCCACGGTCGCCAAACTGTGGAAAGAACCAAGATGCCCTTCAACGGACGAATGGATAAGGAAGATGTGGTCCATATACACTATGGAGTATTATGCCTCCATCAGAAAGGATGAATATCCAACTTTTGTAGCAACATGGACGGGACTGGAAGAGATTATGCTGAGTGAAATAAGTCAAGCAGAGAGAGTCATTTATCATATGGTTTCACTTATTTGTGGAGCATAACAAATAGCATGGAGGACAAGGGGAGTTAGACAGGAGAAGGGAGTTGGAGGAAATTGGAAGGGGAGGTGAACCATGAGAGACTATGGACTCTGAAAAACAATCTGAGGGTTTTGAAGGGGTGGGGGGTGGGAGGTTGGGGTAACCAGGCGGTGGGTATTAGAGAGGGCATGGATTGCATGGAGCACTGGGTGTGGTGCAAAAACAATGAATACTGTTATGCTGAAAATAAATTAAAAAAAAAAAAAAAGAAATACATTGTGAGTCAATTACTAATTTGCTTTTTTTTTTTTTTTGATGCTTGTAGACATTCAAAATGATACACCCAGTATGCAGTTGGTTCGTGGCTGCCTAGGTAAAAGTCCCCTTGAGTCCTATGTTTGATACTTAAAACTTATCTTTGGACATGCTACCCAATATATATATGGCCTCTGCTATCTGTTATGTAGTTAATATTAATGCTGACACTATTAAGTAAAATGTATATAAGAAGCTCTGACACATATATGTACTATAAAAAGTTACATAGTATCACATAAGCATAATTAATATCATTATTACTACTGTCTTCTGGAGCTTAAACATGAGTGCTATAATTGATCTAAGATTTGAAAGACATCAGTATAGTTAAATTTAAGATTTGAGAGACATAAGTATTTGGAGCAGTTGAAATATATGGTATTTTCAAGGGAGACCAGTTAGACGAAGAGTGGAAGGAAAAGTTAAAAATCAAAATTTCCAAAAAATTATTAAAGATCACAAGACAATGAATTCAGGAGGATTCAGAGTAAACTAAAATGAATTGCAATAGAAGGAATCAATGAGTCAGCATTCTAAAATCAGTTAATATAATCCATCATATCAACAGACTGAAGAAAACAGACTAAAAAACACACACTGAAAAAAGAAAAAAAAGCAGGAAAAATTGTAGAAAAAACATCTTGTAAAATCTAACACCCATACTGAAAAAAATAAAGAAAGAGAGAGAAAGAAAGAAGGGAAAGAAGAAAAGGGAGGAAGGAAGGAGAAAGGAGAGGAGAGAGAAGGAAAGGTAAGGAAAGGAAAGGAAAGGTAAGGAAAGGAAAGGAAAGGAAAGGAAAGGAAAGGAAAGGAAAGGAAAGGAAA